GAGAGAGAGAGAGAGAGAGAGAGAGAGAGAGAGAGAGAGAGAGAGAGAGGAGAGAGCTCGACTAACAAAACTCAAGCTCTAGGGTGAAGAGAAAGCAGTAGCACGTCATCAAGTAAAGAGACTGATCATAGGTCCAAGGGCTGCGATCCTGCCAGAGGCTCAGAGCCTCAGAGTCAAGCAAGTGTCAGATCCGTGACAACTGAGAGGCCATGTGCTTGTGGGAAGCACTTTGGTGGGGGGAGAGGGAGAAGCAGGAATTGTGCGCTAAAGTAAAAAGTACAGGTCAAGTGTCAGGAACGACGGGATCAAAAGACAAAACCAAAGCAAAGCCTTCTGAGGAGTGACCTGAGCCTACCAGATGGCTTCCTTAAAGAATTTGGGCTATCTGGGTAGAGACGGGAGAAAACGTTCTGGAAAGCGCAGTGGAGGGGAGAACACACAGGCAATTGGGAATAGCGATTCAAGACCAACAGAGGCGCGTACTGGGATGCACCAGGAATAAAGTCGCAGATGTAAACATCAACGGAGAAAGCCAGCAAAGGTCTATGTGGGAAGGCAGCTCTCCTCCAGAGCCGGCAGACAGACAGAGGGTCTCCACCTGACCAACAGGGCAAGCCGTTCAGAAACCAGGGGAGATGAGCACCAACAGGAGCACAGCTGCGTACCCCTTTTCCTCTGTTAGTAACGACACATCTGAGGGTTGGGACATCTGCAGTTTTAGACACCAGTGCAAGCCAGGACTCTACTCCAGAGCCTAAGGCCACACCCTACCCTACTTGTCACCCTGTAGCCACTGCCCACTTCTGCCCGTCTGTGGGCTGCCCAGACTAGGAACTGACTGAGGAGCAGAGCCAGCAGTAGGAGCACACCACCTGAAAGAGTAATCTAGTAAGGAGTGGAAGTGTTCAATACTCACAGGAACAATAAGCCCTTGCCAAGTCAATAAATTAGCTTCATCAACCTGGATGTTACGGAAGTTTTTCATTCCACATTTGCGGATCTCTTCAAGCTCCTGTTGATTAACAAAGCATAAAGGGTTGTCAAATCGGGGAAAGTACCACATATTAAGATCCCTCCTGACTCCCTCAAATTAAACCTGGTGACAACATCACCAATGACAACATTTGAGTGAGCACCAGAACACACCTTATCAGGTAAGGAGGCATGGAGCCAGGTTAGTCCCATCTGTAATGTCACTGCCTCTATAGACCCTTGCCCCAGACCACACCAAGCCCCAGTCTCAAGCACCCATTGAATACAATGAGAAGAACCATGCTTCTACAGATTTCCACCTCCTCTTTGGGCTGCCTGTTTAGCTGTTTATGCTGCCTGTTTAGCCTCAGCAGAACCAGGTAGCTCACACCTGTAATCTCAGCACCTGGGAGGCTAACAAAGATGGACTGCTGTGGGTTCCAGGCCAGCTAGGACTACAGAGTGAGACTCTATCAAAAATGGAGGGAGGGAGGGAGGGAGGGAGGGAGGGAAATAAAGGAGCTGGTAAGATGACTCATCAGTTAAGAGCACTTTTTGCTCTTCCAGAGAGGTACTGAGTTCAATTCCCAGCAACCACATGGTGGCTCACAACCATCTATAGTGAGTTCTGATGCCGTCTTTTGGCATGCAGGTGTACATGCAGGCAGAGCACTCATATAAAAAAATTAGTAAATTAAACAAAAACAAAAAAAGAAGCCAAAGAAAAACAGAAAAAAGAAAGAAAAGAAGTAAACAGGAGAACTGAAAATAAACAAATGAAGTAGCTGTGCCCTGGCTACACAGGGCAGACATTCAGCAGCACCCTGAGGTGCTTACAGACCTCACTTTTCCAGACAATCACTAGCTATGTGCGAGAAGCTGAGGCTCTAAGATGAGTAAGTCTGCAGATCGAAGACAAACAAAGGCAAATGGGCACCCACAAACCTTCCCTACCTAACATGTGAAGAGCCATTTCAGGACTCCATACCAGGACAGGCACAGGCAAAGAGCACAACTGACCAGTATGGGATGGGCAGGGGGCCAAGGAACCAGCACTGCGGCTCCATTTCTTCAGCTACCAACGGGGTGGTAAGTTCCTGAGCTAAAGACAATGAGCAGGAAACTACATCATAACAGACTCTGAAACTAGGGGCTTCTCATAAATAGCTAATGTAGCAAGAGTCACTTCACTCAAAGTACAACCACCATGACAAATTATTTCATAATTCTGCTTAAGATGTCTTTAAGATTGTCTGTCACTTGGTTTTCCACTGTGTATCAATCTGCTATTTCCCATTGCTTCCCCAACACCAATAAATACACAGTAGGCATCTTAACCAAAGCCACCCAGAACATACCGTGACTCATGGCCACACACACACATACATGGTCACCTCCTCCAAGTTCCTAGACTGCCACTCCCCACCACTACCTCAATCAGGCCTCACAACTGATGAGATGACAGTCTCTCATCCACCCAAGATGCCTTCTCTCCTACACCATCAACACTGCCCTGTCTCATCTACCAAGCTACATCCCCTCTGTCCCAGCCCACTGCCCTCTAATACAGGAAAGGCTCCCCTCCTTAAGCAGCCATGTTTCACAATGGCAAAGGCCACCCTATTGGCTTCTATGTCACCAAAATCAAAAGATTCTTTGCATCACATATTCCCACCATGCCACAATAGTTTTCAAGACATCATTTCTAGTTAGCAGAGCTAGAAAGTCACAGAAGGAATAATTCTCAAAGTACAGTGAAGCATGGAAGGCATATGAGAGGCCTATCTCAGAAGGAGCTGAGGAGGAGGAAAGCGTGTCCCACAGGATGCTGCCTGTTTATCAACCTCAGTGCCTACTACAAGCACCTGGATCACCTCCGGAAAGTCTAGTCCAGCAAATGTGGCTAGAGCCTTAATATGGGAATTTTTAGTAAGTAGTACAAGAGGGGAAAGGTGTTACCAAGCTTAACCAGTTCAGTTCCAAGGAAGCCAGCAATACTGCAGGCCTCTGATCTACACCAGGGGACAGACAATATGGTCAGAGAGCCTGATTGCTCCACAAGGAAGCAGCATCACAGAACCTGAAAGAATACTCCAACTGCCAACTACCATCCTGGTCTTCCAGCTGACACTCATCAGTAACAGTTGTTTGGGAACTATGAAATAGGGACACACTCAAGAAGGGGAAGGTTTCACACTTCACTAACCACTACTCTTCAAAGAGAGCTTTAGCTTCATGAGGGCAGGACAGACACATGAGGTAAAATATTCCAAATAGAACTGTGAATCAAGACAACCAAAAAATACTCAGGAGGCAGAGGCAGGTGGATCTCGGCCAGGCTGGTCTACAGAGTGAGTTCCAGTACAGCCAGAGCTACACAGAGAAATCGTCCCGAAAAACCAAAAAA